AAATGTGAAAGTTAACAAAACCTGATGTGACATGGTGATGGCGATGCACTGCTAAACAAACACACTGCAGGCGTTCTGCAGAGAGACGCGCTGTCAACTGACTCACTGAATAAACAAACACTTAATAAGTCCTAATGCCAAAGAAAACTTTATCTTCCCCCTCTCTCGAGAGCCTAAAGCCTCCTCCATCATGCTAGCACCATTTTATTTTGAGAATTATGGTCATGAATTTGTCACACAGAACACAGAGCCAACAACCACAGCAGGAGAAACTGTGGACTGCATGTATAGTGTTTTGTGGACTGAATTATTGAAGGTGAGTGTAATGGATGCTGTACAAACACACAAGGCCGCTTTGATGCTGCGCTGAGGGTTTGCTGCTCGTCCTCAGCCTGCCAAACCCAGAAACCGTGACAGAATAATGCCCATACACAGCGCCAACCAGGATGCAATATAACAAAGAGTGAAAAATTTAAGGGGGTCTGAATACTTTCCGTACCCACTGTAAATCAATACCGACATATATTACTATTGCAATAAAACTATAGCACTGTAAAGAGCATTTAATAATAATAATAATAATATATAAATGATAAAATAAATAAATACAGACATTACTATTGCAATATGTAACTATAGTATTTGATGCTGCGCTGAGGGTTTGCTGCTCGTCCTCAGCCTGCCAAACCCAGAAACCGTGACAGAATAATGCCCATACACAGCGCCAACCAGGAGATAAGCCAATACAAATTCAAAACAAGTAGCTGTAGAGTCTCTCCTGGGTGTGTTTCGCCGTCTCTATAGGTATGTGCCAGTTTAAACACGGGCAAATAGAATCATCTGAGTGAAATGAATAAATGAGGCATTATGCTGGAATAACATTTCATTACACTTACAATGCTTGCAACAGCCCTGAGAGCAATGTTACTTGAACCACTAGTCATCAGAGAGGATTGTGGGATTTGTTTGACTGAGGTTTGTAATGCTTCGTCATTTTCAGTCAATTTAAAGAAAGCGATTGAAGTGTAAATACACTACCATTCAACAGTAGAATTTATGTTTTTAAATGTCTCATGCTCACCAAGTCTGATTTTATTTGATCGAAAACACTGCAAAAACAGTGAAATATTATTGTTTTCTATTTGAATATATTTTAAAATGGAATTAATTCCTGTGACGCAAAGCTGAATTTTTTAACATCATTATTCCAGTCTTCAGTGTCACATGATCCTTCAGAAATCATTCTAATATGCTGATTGGCTGCTCAAGAAATATTTCTTATTACTGTCAGTTACAGAAATCAACATACATTATTTTAGGATTCTATGATGAATAGACAATTCCATTGCAATCTTCTGTAACAATGTCTTTACTGTCACTTTTGATCAACTTAATGCATCCTTGCTGAATAAAAGGGGGGTAGAAGGACAGTAACGCTTAGTATTTAAGCAAGAATGTGGTATTTTTTAGTTTTTGCAGGTGTCTAGCTCATGTCACCCATGACACTGAAGCAATCAGTCTTGTTCACATTGGCGTTGAACAGACACACACTCAAACGGTGTCTGGTGTTTCACCGTGGTCCTGGTTCCCCTCTGCTGGCTGTCTATCTGCCTCACTGAACATCTCCACATGTGTGATAAGAAGACCAGAGCAGGAGGGCTTGAGCTCTGACCTGTGATCTAAATCTGAGGGAATAAATCACTAAATATATAGGGGTGTGTGTGTGTTTTAGACTTAATTTAGAGCTTAGAGACAAATAAACACCGAAACACAAAACCCACACAGGATGTCTTCTCTTCTAATCCAACACAAAACCACAACGTCTTCTAAAATGTAACAAGCCCTCTTTTTAATTGAAGCAATTACATACTATTTTATCTTAACCAATTTAAAAAGACAACTAAAAACTAAAATCAGTGATTTTAAATGCTACACATGAACTCAGACATCACAATATCACACTGTACTGTATGAAAACTTCATTTTTAGATTTGCTAAAGATTACATTTAACATGTTGCATGTTATGGCACAAATTTTATTGTATTTACATTCATTAATTATATAATAACACTAGCCTATATATTACCCTAAATACAGCAAGCTAATGCATCTTGGTGGCACAGAAAAACACAAACTACAGTTTGACTACATTTGAACATGTAACTATACTTCCAAGAATCCCTCCAGAGGGCAGCATAAAGTCATGAAGCAATGCAAGATTGCATCCAGCATTGATAAATAAATGGCCAAAATGTCTATGATAACAGCTACATCATGGCATAGCATATAAGGCAGTGCAAACAGCATCTATGTATAAAGATAAAGGGAATAAATGGGGAAAAAAATTAAAATATATCAATAACTAAACATATACACTTATACATATAGGCCTATAGCCAGAATGTGTTAGAAAGGCATTGAAGGAATCTTCCATTAAAGCGTGCTGCTGTCTCTGAGCCATAATAATCTTATATACAGGCTTTCACGCTCTTTGATAAAGCAGTGTAAACAATCCAGACACTAAGACACGTTCTTCAGGCAAACATCTTTTACAAGGTGATGGCACAGAGGGCATTCAGCTGGTAAACATTTTGGCATCCTGTTTTTCTGAGCTTAATAAAGTTAGACAAATAGTGTTTTAATAGTTTGTTTTGCTTATAGTGGTAGTGTAGACCACAAATGACACCTTCTGTTATATATTCTATAGTATTACACACACATCTGTCCAAAGCTCTGCAAGGCCTTCTGGATTAAGTGTCACACACACATTCTGCAGTGCATGTAGAACATATGCCTCAACACATCATGGAACACACAGGCTCATTTGGTTTGAAGCACTCCCAAAGGTGAAAACTTCAAATAACTGTGCTCTGGGCATATATTCTCAGTGTCAATGGTCGGCACCATGGAATCCTGCCCAGTTCATTCATCACACAACCACTAATGCACTCGTTCATAGATATGGACATTTACGACACACATCTGTGTCCACAGAGCAGTCTGTAGGGTAATCAGAATGACCTCTGACCTCTAGACACTATACATGACCAGCCGTCACCTTTAAGCGTGAGTGAGTTCAAAAGTCCATAAGGGAAAACAAGGGAAACAATCATTATTAGTTCATTTTTACCCTCACCTACAAACATTAATCTGTTCCTTGCATTTCTAACAGCTGAGCTGGGTATAGCTGGATTTACAGAATGCTATAAATGCGTTTATAGAGTCATTTAGCTGCGATGGCCTAGTGGTAAATCACTCTATGGCAAGCTCTGGATTTTTAAACCGGTAAATGCAGTACCAAACTCTACCACCAGATGGCAGACATGTCTTTTGTTTTGTTTACAATAACCAAAAACTAGATCTTTATTGTTTACTGAGGAAAATGTCCAAAACCTGATACTGAGCTATAGGGTGTTGCTGTGAGGTTGCCAGGGTGTTCTGATCTGGTTTATAGGCGGTAGCTTAATAACAAAGGACTCTGTGATATCCCCAAATTTAGTTGATCTGAAAGAGAAAACTGACCACAGTAGAAGGTTTATGCTAATAGCTGCTATATTCCTTGGCATTATTAATTGCGCTCAGACATATTTCATGATGTTTACAATCGAAATGCCATAGAAGTGCCTGTGTTCAAGCATAGGTTTTGGACTTCAAGGTACATATTACATTTTTTGCTATGGAAGGAAACTCTGCAAAGTCTGTTGTGTGTCAAAGAAATATATTTAAAAACATTTTTCAAAGTTGTAAATATTTTTGTAAGTTTTTCAAAATTCACAAGAAAATGCCATTTCAGTTTGTTCAACTGAAGGCTAACTTTTGCAGCAAAGTGGTGTAAAATTAAGCATATTTTTTTCCAGTGAGAATTTCAGGCAGGCGAATAAGGTTGTGCTTACAAAAATCCAGTTTACTGTATTCACACTCGATCTCAAATGGAACCGATGTCAAAGCAGATCTTAGGAATTCATAGCAAAGTGATGTGTTGTGGTAATGGAGGAGACGTGACATCAACTTCCCATACATGAAAGAAAATAACCTGCAAACATGTAACAATTCATTGAATAATTCGCACACTGCTTTAATTACCTTTTGCTGATAAATACGGCCCAATACACAGATAGCCTAATACACCCCTGGCGTAATAAAATAATTTTGATAATGACGCGTTATATTGTTTTCCGATCAAAAGACCCAACGCTGTCACGATTATAAATGAAGGAAACAACTTACAGTAAACGTAGCAGTCCCATCTAGGCTACAGAATGTAACCCACACAAACATTCATAAACGAATGGAGAGCCCCATTCCATCTAACATCGACGTATCTGTGTGTAGAAAGTCAATTTTCCAGTCCTTCACTATGATAAAGCCACAGTTATTCAGTATTTCACTTTTTATTGTCGAATATTTTGGATATTGCAGCCACACTTGCACCTGTGGCGTTCACCATAAACAGACACGATGACACTAAACAGATAATGAAAGTTGACTGGTTAGAAAAGTTACAGTTGATGATGATTGGTTAATAAGGAGGAAGGCTAATTTAATCCATCCCTAATTTTGCATTTTTAATGTATTTATTTAATATTATAATTGTAATATAAAAATCTTATTTATCGATAGATAGATAGATAGATAGATAGATAGATAGATAGATAGAATTGTTGCTCAACTTCATCATGTATCATTAAATGACATTGTATTGTTCTGCATGGATTATTGTGTCAGTAATTTCCCCCTGAACATTAAGCTTTTGCTTCTCTCAGCAGTATCATGAGTTTCATGGTTGAGAACCCACTGAACTCCAGCATGAGAGGAAAGACTAATAACACAAGACAGGGAGAATTTTTCCCTGCATGGGCCCAGGGCCCCAGGTGCAGCGGCCAGAGGACCTAGAACACAACGGCACTGCCAAGGCAATCAGAAACAAGAATGCACCCAGTGGTCCAGCCCTCAGAAACAGGTTCTTTAGAAGAGACATTTATTTGAACAGCAGAATGCATGCCAGAAATGAATATTTTACAGCAGCATTTTCATGTCTTTGTCCCTCATTTCCAGTTCAGAAGAGTCCCTGTGAAAGGTCTAAGCAAGGCAGGTGACCTTTTCTGCCCGATGTTCATTCAAACAGAGCCAGCCAACCGAGTTCATACTGTTGAGTTTTGCATCTGAAATCATTTAATTTACAGCAGTTTCCTGTTGGTTATACATTTAGCTACAAAGGGAGACAATTCATCAGGCAGAAATTATGCCCGTCGATAACACCATCTGTCATTATTAGAATTTTAAGCACCACCTGGAATCCAACGCCAGACAAATCACTCATTAACAAGAGCAGCTACTGTAAACGAGTATAGAAATGAGTGGTGCTGTAAATTCACATGCAGTTTGTACACAGTGGCATATATTTTGGACCATTTTTTTTCCATAAATAGTCTATATGTTCACAGCTACATTCAGATATATGTGTGCTGTAAGTGTGAGCGTGTGTGTGACCTCAACAAGAAGGGTCAAAAATGACTTGATAAAACTAATTCGGTGAAAGTAGGACTTCTCAAGGAGTCTGTGAGTCCGGTCCCAGCTGTGTTCTGTCTCTGATCCCAGCAGTTCCAGTCACACAGCTGTCCCTTCCTCAGCCAAGGGACAGGCTCGGGATATTATATAACAGTTTGTCCTCCTTTGCCCTCTCATATTTAAAGTCAACAAAAAATCAAAACCAACCCCATTTACTCTCTCAGTACAAGTTTTTGGTCTTATTGCATGGTTCATGATTAAGTCCATAAGTTATTCCAAGGAAAAAAAATAGTCTGTTTTCGTAATCCCTCTTAAAAATGTAATGAAATGTAAAAATCTCTAAAACATCTCTGAGCTACGAATATATGAGGAGTGTAACAATGGCGCCACCCATTGGTTAAAACTTTTGTGACGTTATAATAAACATTTTATTATGGTTATTATTTTATTTGATGAGATTGATAGAAATTAATCGTTTTATTTTCTTACATCTTCTTTGTGGATTAAAATGTATAAAATTATAATTAATGCTGTTTCACTATAGTAGCATAAAGTGTTCCAGACATACTATATTTCCATGTTGACTTCAAATATGGCCTTGAATGTCACATAAAAAAGGAGGGCCTTGTAAAAAGCAAAAATGAAAATCTAAACTCCTTTTTAGCAGTTAATATTGCCATAAACAGAATTATTCTTCAGCTGAAAAACAGTCATATACTCTCTATAGTGGTAGTGTGGATTGGTTTTTCATAAATTCTGTTTTTGTACATGTAGTGAAAGACAGTATTTCCCCAAGTATGCGTGACAAACATGACAAAAAGGAACATACGGCAATACCCCTTAACAAATGCCACCGTATTTCATATACTTGACCACAATGCTTTTATATAAATGTGAATGTGAACATAGACCAAAATCATATCAACAAATAACTTAACTGAGGAGAAAAAGTTAGTGAAGAGGGCTTGTTTACCCTCACGGTGCAGTGGTTTACAATGAAGACAACTAATAATAAAATAAATCTATTATGCAATATTTTAGATATACTCTGGCACAGTACAAAATTAAATATTAATCTAAAAAAAAAATAGCAGAAAATATTTTTAGTTGTTTTTCTTGTCAGAAAGAGCTTATTCAGAGGAACAACACAGTTCCATTAATGGATTTGCTGAGGCATTGCTTTTACAGCAGATGAAAATAGAAAACACAAGGAGGAAGATAGAAAGAGGGGGAAAGAAAAAGAAGAATAAATCCTAAAGAACAATTCTAATTAATGAATACGTACATAAACAGAAGGGCCTACCGTTCCGATACAAAGATATACAGTATATGTTAAGGTCAACACACTCTATACACATAATATCACTGACAAGTTCATTACCCAGAATGCACTGGGATTGTGCTTCAGCTAAATGGAGGTTAAACAGTGGTCTTTCAGCATCCATGTTTTGTCCCTCATAAAATGAAACAAGGTTTTTATACAGACTGAAACCTGTCTCACAGTATATATTTGTATTTATGTCATATTTACAGGTATTTCAGTATCTGTTAGCATCTTGTGTCCCGTTACGTCCTCTCAGAGTTCGAGTCTCAATACGTGTGAATGAAGATGTGCTCTGGTTCATAAGTAAATCTCTCACACACATACTATAGGAAGTGGAATTCCGCTCTTCCTGTCTCCAGTCTCAGCAGAAGTCTGTTTGATTTCCTCATCCTTTTTTATTTAGGGTCCATGTCACACGCTGCGGGGCACCCGCTGCATCTCGTGGGTCCTGCGATTGCGACCTTTCTTGTTTTCTTGTAGCAGCTTCCACTTACTGGTGTGTGATTGGCTGGAGTGGATGAGCTGGCTGGCGTGTGATTGGCTGGTGTGCAGCAGATTGGCTTTCTGCCTACGCTGTTTCCGTTCTCTTTTCCAAACCTGCTCGCAGAGCTGGTCGACGCTGTTCGGGCTCGGCGGGTTGATGAGGGACAGGAAGTCACGGTACCACATCTTGCCATTGGCCGGGTCGTTGCTGTCGGGCGTGTCTCGGTGCAGGAGGTCATCCAGGTGTTCGGTGGGAATGACGTTGAGTGTGAGGCGGAGGAGGGTCTGGATGAAGCCGTGTTCGACAGCATGGCAGTAATACACACCCGAGTCCTTCTGATGGAGGGTTCGGATCAACAGACCCTGTTCTGTGCCCAACAGCCGCTCACCTGACTTTATCTAAACAAAACACGTAGACATGTGATCAGATCACATGTTTTGAGTACTGTAAACATCATTGACAACAACAGTGCCTGATTCTTGTCAAATATATTTATATATATTTTCGTGACTTTTGTAATGTGATCCATACCTGACACCAAATTATAAAAATCAACATTCGTGACAGCATGTTGATCGACATAATTTAATCCAATATCAAATTGTGTTACAGCATGGAATACAACTGAAAAACAGTTGTTACAGTATTTATGTATTAGCATTAATATTTTGACTTTTTTTAAAATATCCATGTATATTTAAACAAATTATTTTGCACCATTCTGTCTGCTCCTTTTTATAAAATTATGAATATGTACAATACAATTATGAATACATACAGTGCAGTATATCAGGGTAAATCAATCACACAATTCTGAGGAATTTTGAGTAAGATTGATGGAAAGCTTGCATGAATTCTGACCTGATATTTAACTGATCTAATGGCAAAAATCAAATTTGTATTTGATTTATTTATCAACTGGACATTGAAAAAGTCAGATTCAATGTGCTTTTTCTGTTCAAACAGCCATTGGTCATACATTTATTTGTTCTTTTTTTGTGAAAGGAATTAAAAAAAATAATTTAAGGTAATTACGTAAATAAATAAATAAAATGAATGAGAAATTCTATTTAGATTCTATTTCTAGGTTATTTAAATAACCACATATGTAACACTGATCATGTGAACTCCAATACAAGGTCAGATGTTTTTGCTTCCATTAAAGCACATGATGCTCTTTCCTTGATGGATCATTTTTAAATCATGCTGGGGATCATGATCATGAACAGCTCGATGTCCATGCGGCTCAAGCGCTGCTGTCATTTGAGTAAAAGAGGGACAAACCAAATCCTAAGAACTCTAAAATAATGTTAATTTTTCAATTCAGCTTTTTACTTAAATTGTTATGCTGATAACTGGTCTTTTGGCCTCCACTGTATACATAACAGAACATACCTCTTGTTTGCGGACCTCTCCATGTCTCTGAAATTGCCAGTAAATAAGGGCACGCTGGGATTTAGGACTGCACTCCAGAAAAGAGCTGCTGTTTTCAACCCCGTACACCGTCTTATCCAGCAAACCGCTCTCTCCGTCTGCCTCATCTGCTCAAATAGACAGGGAAACAACACAGAAAGAAGTGAGAAATCTTGATTCTGAGACAGACAGGGTATCCAGCAGTGAGAATACAAACTGATAGTTCAGACCATATGCTATCACACTAGTGAAGTCACACCCAGCATGTCTATATCACACAGCTGTGTGTCTCTCAACATGTTTCAGGTCTATAGGGATCCAAGGCCAAGAGAAACCAAAAAAAGAAATCACTTGTTGTGTTAAGCGGCATCTATTCTTCAGTCTCTCATTTTCCTCTGCCATCCATTTAAGTCTGAACTATGAGCGGAGTGCTGTGGGTTAGCGGTGCCACTGTAATGAGGTGTTTCCGACACAGGAAATCTGTGTGTGGTCTCCATGAATGTGATCACACATTGATAATAATAAGAAATGCACCAAATCAGCATATAAGAATGATTTCTGAAGGATCATGTGACACTGAAGACTGGAGTTATGATGCTGAAAATTCAGCTTTGCATCACAGGAATAAATTAAACGTTAAAATATTTAAGATTGTAATAATATTTCACATTACTGTTTTTATGATCAAATAAATGCAGGAGCATGAGAGACTTCATTCAAAAGCATTCTTATAGAAACTTTTGAATGGTAGTGTACAGTATATCTACATTGACGTGTGGAAGTGCATGTTCTGGAGCCTGTATTTTTGCAACATCTGTGAAACCGTTTCTCAGCAGTTAAATATGTCATTAACATAGCAGAATGACCTTTTTAGGCTGTGTTTCATTTCAGAAGCTTTAATTAAACACTAACCTGGCATGTATAGCATGTATGCAGAGCTTTCATTCAAAACCATTATGAACAGTTGCAATTATCTCTTTGGCTTCAAAATGTAAGTTTCTCCACACATCCTGAATTTTATTTTATGATGAATGAGACCCTGACTGCTTTCTTGCTAGCATGTTATCACACATAATATAATGTCAAGTAGTAAGATCTGCAAGTTGGATTGTGATTTGTGAATTGTGAATTTTCAGCATTATTACTCCAGTCTTCAGTGTCACATGATCCTTCAGAAATCATTCT